TTATTATATCACATATTACTCAATCCCTGATGACAGTTTATTCCCTCAGACTCAGTCCACCAGATTCATGCATATATATATATATATATATATATATATATATATATATATATATATACATATTCAAAATAAAGATTACAATCATCACCAAAACATGCTTCGCATATATCAAATCATATTCCAAGCATATCAAAAACATATTATCACTCATCACATATTCAAATCAAATACAATCATACATGCAAACACAACATTTCTTAGTAATAAGATAGAGCTCTCCTTACCTTAAAAAACTAGTTCTAGTTGATGAGAAAATAAAAGGATGTTGGTTCATAGAAAAGAGATTCTTTGAGAAAAGAGAAAATAGAGAAGATAGAAGTAAAAATGAGAGGTTCGAGCTCTAAGATACTCACCGACGATTCTATAAAGCAGAAGGTTGAGCTCGTATTTGATTAAATATTAGAGTTTCTAAGGCTATTATCTATAATAGGAAAGAGAGAGTTCAGCGAATAAGAGAGAGGTACGTGAGTTATAGGAATGAAATGAATTTTCATGCTGAAAATCTCTTAAATACCCCTCAGCCCCGCGCGATCTCACTTGAGCGACGGATAGCTCGCTTGAGCTATGACTCCCTTACCTAAGCGAGATGATGACCAGAGAGGGCGAGATTTCTCCTGTGAGTCCTCACCTGGACGACAAGCTCGCCTGAGCGAGATTACTCTTGCCTAAGCGAGGTGACGGTTGAGCAAATTCTATCCTATCTCGCTTGAGCAAGATTGCCTTGGAACCAGATATTTTTGGGCGTTCAGTCTCGCTAGAGCGAGATTCCCTACATCACTCTCTTCTAAAACTCCTCTCAATTTACTCCTAACACATCCTAATGCTATTTAATGTAAACAAAACCTAATTTTCTAAATAATGGAAAAAGGGTGTTATAGAGGCTACTTCAACAACATCAAGATAGACATCCCTGAATTTGAGGGGAGACTACAGCTAGATGAATTTGTAGATTGGTTACAGACAGTGGAGCGTGTGTTCAAATTAAAAGAAATTCCAGATGAACAAAAAGTCAAGATCGTTGCTGTTAAACTGAAGAAGCATGTATCCATTTGGTGGGAAAATATAGAGAAGAAACGTGAGTGGAAAGGCTGAACCAAGCTAAAGATGTGGGAGAAAATGAAAAGAGAATTCACACGTAAGTTTCTTCCTGACCACTGCTATCAAAATAATTTTATTAAGCTCCATAATTTACGCCAGGATTCTAAGATAGTAGAGGAGTATATTAGAGAATTTGAACTGTTGATGATGAAATGCGATATACAAGAGAAGGAAGAACAAACAATTGCTAGATTTTTTGGAGGGCTAAATCCCGAAATTTCCCAGCTTGTCTAACTACAATAGTATTGGACCTTAGACGATGTCATTAAGTTAGCCATCTGAGTCAAAACAACCATCATCCTCACAAAGCTCTTTTACCGCTCGCAAAGCTCAACCATCACAACCTACAGTTCCAAACAAAACCCTTTCCAACCCTGTTAAAGACACTAGCCCCAAACAACCAACCCAATCCAAACTGCCCAAATGCTTCAAATGCGAAGGTTATGGGCACATTGCTTTCGACTGTCAAAATCGAAAAGTTGTCACTATCATTGAAGGAGAGGCCTACGAAACATCTAAAGAAGAACCTGAATTCTACCAAAATGATTTCAATAGTCCTCTAGTGTTTGATGAAGAGTTGACCCTAGCAGATCATGGAGAAGCCTTACTAGCTAGACACAGTCTTCACACAGCAGCCGTTAGAGAAGAACTATGGATGAGACACAATATATTCCATACACAATGCACCATTCAAGGTAAAATTTGTGATGTCATCATCGATAGTAGAAGTTGTGAAAACGTTATGTCTAGTTACATGGTGGAGAAATTGAAGCTTCCTACTGATGATCATCCACATCCCTACAAGTTGCAATGGCTGAATAAGGGTAGTGAAGTCAAGGTTAGTCAACGTCGCCTAGTTGCTTTTTCAATCGAACAAAAATATCAAGATGAAGTTTGGTGTGACGTCCTTCCCATGGATGTTTGTCACCTCTTATTGGGACGTCTATGGCAATACGATCGGAAGATTGTGTATGATGGGTTTAAGAATACCTACTCATTTGTCAAAGATAGAGTGAGAATCAAGTTGACTCCATTTGGGTCTAGAAGAAGTCAACCCGACCTCACGCAAAGCCAAACCACTCGTATCCCTAATTTTTAAACCACAGCTTAAGATGACGTGAGAAAAATTTCAATCAATAAACTTATTACTCATGGTCGAACAAAATATTGGAGTACCTATTCCACAAGAAATAGAAAAGCTCCTTGCAGAATACGCAAATGTGGTACCTGAAGAAATTCCTCCTAGTTTACCACCTATAAGGGACATCCAGCATGCCATCGACTTCATCCCAGGAGCTGTTATCCCAAACAAACCTGCTTATAGGATGAGTCTACATGAATATGTTGAAGTACAACGTCAAGTGGAGGATCTTCTAAAAAAATGGATTGATACAGGAGAGTGTTAGTCCGTGTGCAGTCCCTGTCATATTGGTGCCCAAGAAAGATGGAAGTTGGAGAATGTGCATGGATAGTCGAGTCGTGAATAAGATTACCATAAAGTATCGATTCCCGATTCCATGACTCAATGATATGCTAGACCAACTACATGGTGCAGTCATATTCTCGAAGATTGACCTTCGCAGTGGCTATAATTAGATTAGACTATGTCCTGGTGATGAGTGGAAGACCGCTTTCAAGACAAGAGATAGACTATATGAGTGGACTGTCATGCCGTTTGGCTTATCCAAGGCACCTAGCACCTTCATGCGCTTGATGAATCAGGTACTACGCTCTTTCATTGGAAAATTTGTAGTTGTTTATTTCGACGATATTTTAATTTATAGCAAAAGTAAGGGAGAACGCCTAGATCATATTCACCAAGTGCTAGGCGTTCTCCGAAAGCAAAAGTTATATGCTAACCTTAAAAAAGTGCACCTTATTGACCAATGAAGTAAATTTTTTGGGCTACATCATTATGGGTGAAGGTGTCAAGGTTGATCCTAGCAAGTTTAAGCACAAATTGAGAAGCAAAACGCCAAGTATAAAACTCAATGAGATAAGCATTAGAGACATACTATTTTCAAGGAAGGAGATTTGGTATGGATTCATCTGCGGAATGATAGATTTCTAAAGCAACAAAATGCTAAACTGTCTCTAAGAGCAGATAGAACTTTTTGAGTAGTACAACAGATCAATGACAATGCCTATAAGATAAAACTGTCTGATTCATGTAGAGTTTCTGCTACATTCAACGTTGCAGATCTATTGCCTTAATATGAAGATAATGCTTAGACTCGAGAACGAGTCTTTTCTAACCAGGGGAATATGGCCCAACCTATATTTAAGATAATATATAATTACACTATTTAGAAATATTTCTAGTCTAGAAATATCCTTACTCTAGATTTATCCTTTCTCTAGAAACATCTCTAGTCTAGAACTATCCTATTTAATATCTACTATAGAATAATCTATGTTCTAAAAATCCTTATAATACTATAAATACCCCATTGTACTCCTCATTTTTGCATCAAGTTGAATAAGCAAATTCTTATCCTCTCTTAAGAGTTTCAAGCTCTAGTTCTCTCTTATCCTATTTGAGTGTTCTAAGCACTACTTGGTCACTTTCCCTTTCTGGTTTCTGAGCAAATGACTTACACTAATTATGTAAAAAATTCAAAATTTATATTAAATACATAATTTTGAATAATTTCTAACAGTTTATTAAAAATATAAAAATATCGTAAGTTTAACTCTTTCATTTTTTATTTAATAATTTTCTCATATTTTTCTATATTTTAATCAATAATTAAAAATTTATTATAAATAATATATTAAAAATATATTTTTAGTGCTTTTCATTTATAAAATATTAGTTGAGTTATTTGAATCAACGTATCTTTTCTTACTCAAATTAAAATTAACTTAATATAAATATTCAATAACAAATTAAATTTAATGTAATATAATGAAATATTGATAATATTTTGAAATAAAAGTAGTAAATTTAATCACTTAACCTAAATTAACGTATTCATGATCAATTGAGCTACTTTTGCTTGATTAAAAAAAATAATTCTCAGCCTAAATAAAGTTAGCTAAAATAAGCTTGATTTATTTAATTTTTATTTTTAAAAAAAATACTTAATATATGATCACTAATATTTGTTTGATTAGAGATAAGATAATTATTTATATTAAGTGAGCTAGAGTTTGAATGAAAAACAAATTATCATTTTAAATGAATTCCTTGTTATAAACACGCACTTAAATCAATTGAACTATGTTGTTATTTTTCAAATACAAAAAATAAAAATATTTAATAATTAAACTATAGATAATATTTAATATTTTTCTTTATTTTAATAATTAATACAAAATAAGAAATGATAAAATTATTTTAATTAAATTACGTGATTAAGAGAAATATAAGAAGTTAATAAGTTGAATGATAACAGGTAAATAAATTTAAAATAATAAATATTCTTAAAATGTTTAAGAAAATTATATTAAAAATCTTTAAAATGCTCTTATAAAAGTATTTTAGAAAGTTAAAATACTGTATATTTTATTAAAAAATCACGATTTAATCAAACTAGTATTTTAACTTAAATTTTAAAAATAATCATTTTAAAAAAATTTATAAACATTTTTTTTAAATCATATTTTTAAAATAAATTAAATCAAATATTCATTTAAATATATGTTGGGAAAAATTGATTTTCAAAGAATAATTATTTTTTTAAAAAATCTTTAGAAAAATAAGAAAAAACATTTTTCTAAAGTAAAAATAAACCAAATGCACACCAACAGTATTTTCAAGAAATAATTGTCACTTTTATTACCCCTCATTTTACTCGTGAAAACCAGACCAATCTACAAACAAAATCATATTAGTATGAAACAGAACACAGACCGGGAAAGGAACTAAAGAGTAAGGAACAGAAAAGATAGAAAGAGGTGAAGATGTTGAACTTGCAGCTGCAGCTTCACTCACCACCATCACCGTTATCATCATCATCATCCTTATCTTCTTCTTCTTCTTATGCTTCCCTTAAGCTATTCCCAAACCACTCCTTCTCTCCAAACACTCTTCCTTTTAACACTCCAAAACCCTTCACCCTCAGATGCCGCCATTCAGACCTCTTCGCCCAGAACACCTTGGCTTCCACACCACGACCTGCAAGACCCACTCCTTCTGGTACTCTTTCTTAACCCTTTTTGGTTGCTGAGAAACTAAATCCTCATTCTTTTTCGTTTGTTTGTTTTTGGGTTTCTGAATGATACCTAGAAAAGTTATCTAAATGAAAAACACATAGGTTCTCAGCAACCTACTAAATGCTTAATTTTCCCATTTAAAAAATTTGTTTACCAGTTGGGAAGTTTAAAAAGAACAGATTTTTATGCCATATTTTTTTCTGAACAGTCACTACAGAATAGTTGGTAAGTTAAGAAATGTGCAAAGGTTTGGTGTTGTGTTATGCCACTAATTTGGTTTCTGGTTTGATGTGTATCTGTGTGTGTGTGTTCAGTTGGAGCTTTGCCACCTAGGGTTTATGTTGGTTACTCCATTTACAAAGGGAAAGCTGCGCTTACATTGACTCCTAGACCTCCGGAATTCGCCCCATTGGATGTATGTTTATTTTGGTTTTGATGGTGATTGTCATTGGGTGTGCCTTACTTTTTTGTCGGCCTTTTGAATTGAATGCTCAACCGTTGAAAATTTTGGTGCATTTTGTAGTCAGGGGCATTCAAAATATCTAGGGAAGGTTATGTGCTACTTCAGTTTGCACCTGCTGTTGGCCAGCGCCAATATGATTGGAATAGAAAGCAGGTTAGTTGGATTGCTTCTTCTGGTGTTTTGAGGATAATGTCAATGCTAATGTTATGTGTCAAAACCGAGAAGTTGTTTTGTGCTGAGAGAGTATTACACCAGTCTGCTAAAATCACTACACCATATAACACAGCACACATGACATAATCATTTATGCTATTTCGTTAAATTGAGATGTTATATACTGAAGTTTGGATCAAATTTGAACTGTTGAGAGCATTCTCTCAGTATGTAGATATTTTTTAACATAACCTGAGTGCTATTTGTGTTTTGATCTCTCCAGTTTGGAAGTTTTGGTGTGATTCAGTTGGATTAAGTCAGTTGGTCTCAGTTTAAAATGTAAGGTCAACGTCCAGTTTACTTGAATGCAGGTTTTTTCGCTATCAGTGGGTGAAATGGGAAGTGTGATTAGCCTTGGTACAAGGGAGTCTTGTGAATTTTTTCACGATCCTTTGAAGGGAAAAAGGTAATTATTATAAAATATAAATTGTAATGGGATTAACATGTTTGAATCTCTGATCATTGCTTGATTTATCTTGCATTACAGAATTCATTTTCTTGATCATTTTGTTGTCTCTTTACAACAGCAATCAAAACTTACTTCACTAGGTGAAGTCAACTACATGGATTACATGACATCACATCATTAAGCTCAATCAAAAACTAAATTCTCAGAAATATTATTTATCAGTAGATCTTCTTGCTGTCTCTTTGTGTGAGTAAAAATATTTGATCGAAGTCATTGGATACTGACACTTTAAATAGATTTTACATTTTTCCTTTTTGTTATGTGGGTGGATGCCAGGTGCATGGGTTTTGCCATCATAAACTCTGACTTTTGTGCTTACATGCCTTTTCTAGCATTTCTAAAATTGTCTTGTTATGCAGTGATGAAGGTAAAGTCAGAAAAGTTTTGAAGTTGGAGCCTTTCCCAGATGGTTCTGGTCACTTCTTTAACTTCAGTAATACTCTTTCTTCATGAACTTTTCTTTCTATTATTGTATCACTTTTTAATTTATTTTCTTGCCAAACTGAAGTTGTTAGGGCACTCTGAAATGTTGGATTGATTGAGTCCTTAACTACAAATAAGCTTCTACAGTTATGCAACAGTTCTAAGTTGATCAATCTTAATTTTATCGTTTAAAAGAATAACTAATTTGACCCATTTTTATGCCAATGCCTGCAATATAAATGAAGTTAAATGTCTTGGTATTTGCTTTAGTTCTGACTTTGTTATGGCATTTCTGAAGGTGTCCAAAACAAGCTTGTGAACGTGGATGAAAATATGTCAATCCCTGTTACAAAAGCAGAGTTAGCAGTTTTGAGCTCAACTTTCAATGTATAACTTTCTCTCGCAGCTTCTGATGTCAATTATCTAAATTTGCATTGCCAATTTGCCATGATTCTCTTACAGTGCTATGAAAAGATGTTGTGACAGTCATCATTATAGAGTAGTAGCAATGAAAATCTGACTAAACTTTGCAGTAAAAGTTGCATAACTATGATGTCATGATGTCTAGCCATACTAGGAATATGTCTTTCACTATGATGTTATGATGCCTTAAAGATTTATAGAATTTCAGCATATCTGTTTGAAAAAGAATTTATAATATAGAATAGCTTTACATTCATTCGGAAAATGACCTGTATATGTTTATGTAGTCGCTATGGCAAATCGGTAAAATAATGCATCAACAAAAGGGTTTTCTGAAATACTTTTGCTTTGGTAAATGTAAACTTTCCGCTATGCATATAACCTGATTAATATTTTGTTCATAATAATGATTATACTCTTGATATTTTTCCTCTTTTTACCTTTGTAGTTTATCATGCCATACCTTCTTGGTTGGCATACTTTCGCAAACTCCATAAAGCCAGATGATTATAATGGAGAGAATAATGCCAACCCAAGATATGGAGGAGACTATGAATGGAACCGATAGAGATCACTTTTTGCTTGTATTTCACCACCCTCACCCTGTGAATTTCTCGACTTTGAAATTCGTTAAATCACTATATCCTGTTAGCTGAGAATTTTTTTTGAAATTGTGACTTCTGAGATAGCAATGTTTCATTTTGAGTTATTTATTGTGTGTTTCTTTTGGTATTTAGTGCTCGATCAAGTTCAAGAATGATATTTTGGATGAAAAAGTTATTTTTTTTAAAAGAATTGAAAAAGTTTATAATTTAAAGTATAAGGAGAGAAATTTTGGTGTTATTAAAATGTAAAATGATATTTTTGGCAAGTATAACTCCTACTTCTCTCATTCGATCTCTCCTTGTTCTCAACTAGTGTTTGACTTGTGTGTATGGGTAAATTCGTTGTGTTTGGTAAATTGCTTGATCTATCGCAATATATTAGATTCGTTTTGGACATTATTATATTAACATTAAGAACAATTAAATAAAATTTAAGTAGTTAAATTATTTCATTAAGATTTAAGGAAACATGTTATGATCATCAGTGTCAACCATCGAGAAGTATGTATTTATACTTAAAAATAAAGTTTATTAAAGTAAATATACAAACGGATTTACCTTTCTTCCAGCTTATCTAAACTGCATTAAAAAATAAAACAAAAATTGGTTTTAAATAATTCGGAGGAAATAATGCCCAAAAGGTAGAAATTTTCAAAATCTCTTATTTAAATCAGCTTATTATTTGTATAAATAAAATGCTATAATAGGTATATAAATAAAACAAATGTCTAGATCATGTTAGCTCTAAAAACTTTAAAATAATCACTTATATCACTAAAATATATCTTTTATAACTTGTTTAGGGCTAGGAGATAAGTAAAATAAGATGAATTTTCATTTTTTTTCACCCCAATATATGAATAGAAACTAAAGGCAAATTTATTAAAATATTGTAAATTAAAAAACAATTTATTATTTTATAGGAAATCTGAAACAATTTCTCAATCTGGAGTTTTTTGCCATGTGGAACAAAATTTCGCCAAACGGCTGGCGAAAGTATTAATTTTTAAATTTTTTAAAATCTATTTCGCAAAAAAAAATACGAAATATGACTTCTTAGAGCGGTTAAATTAAAACTGCTCTCAGTAGTCTATTTTAGAGAACGGTTCCTTTTGAACCGCTCTCATAACTCCATTTTAGAGAGCGGTTCCTTTTGAACCGCTCTCTCATAACTCATTTTAGAGAGCGGTTCCTTTTGAACCGCTCTCATAAGTCCATTTAAGAGAGCGGTTGCTTCTGAACCACTCTCATAAGTCCATTTTAGAGAGCGGTTGCATTTGAACCGCTCTCAGAAGTGCATATTAGAGAGCGGTTCTGCTGGAACCACTCTCTTAGATTTAAAATGGACGGCTGGGGAGATTTTGATACACGTGGCAACATCTGAGATGATTCGCACTGCTACTGGCGAAAGCTCATTTCGCCCTGCAGTTAGCGAAACCGCTTTTGACCGTCGTCCTCCTTCGTTTCCATTTACATGTTCTCCGTCTCTGCTCCTCTTTCGTCGTACATTTAGCTTTTCTCCGTCTCTGCTCCTCTATCATCGTCCGAAGTTTCAAAATTTGTTTTGATTTGTTGTGAAGGATCAAATACTGCTACGAATTTAAGAGGTATGGAACTATAACAACATGCATTTATATATTATTTTTAATTTGATTTTGTTAATTAGAAAATCTGATAATAATATTGTAATATTTTTAAACTCTACGTATGTAAGTGATTTGGTAATTAAGTGGGGGTGAGTGAAGAATTTGCTGAAAGTTTATTAAAGATTAGTAAAAAAGAGTTTAAAATTTAAATAATTTTTTATTTATTTATATATAGATTAATATGTTTTTAGAAAAAATGAAATGTGATATAGTTAATTAAAATATAAAATTATAATTAATTGTTAAGAAGATAGGTTAAATTAAGATTTATAAAATTTGTTTACAGGAATTATTATAGATATTTATTAAAATATAGAATAATAAAAATTGAGTTAAATAAAATAAATATATAAAACTAAATATAATAATTTATACTTAGTTTGATTGTAATAAATAATTTTTACACTTATATTGAAGTAAAATTTTAAAATTGTATTTATATAAAATTTATGTATTATTAATATGTTAGTAAAATATAAATTATTATTATTATTATTATTATTGAATGAAATTTTTTTACTAATATTTTTTGTTGTTGTATAGATGGCATCATCTTCACAACAAAGTAAGGTTATTAATCCCGGGCCAGAAGATCCATCACTTCTTCGGTTTCAGAGTATTCATGTTTCTGAGCATATTTGGGATGGACGTGATTACCCGACATTGAGAGTTAGGAAGAGTCCAAATATTCCCGGTGGATTAGAAGGTATTCCGGAAGAAATTATTCCACATATGGAATTAGCGGGTTTTGTTGGAGTGGCTAACTTGTCTAAGCTTCCTGTAGACGTGGGATTGATTACTGCATTAGTAGAGAGGTGGAGGCCCGAGACGCACACCTTCCACATGCCCCCTGGAGAGTGTACTATTACCCTTCAGGATGTTGCTATTATATTAGGATTATGCATAGATGGGAGACCTGTTATAGCACCCACTGGGGGTGATTGGGCTCAGATTGTGGAAGACAGCCTAGGTATGAGACCAGGATCAGAGGCTTTTGTAGGGAGTTTCTTGAAGATGAGCTGGTTGGACGAACACTTCACTTATATTGCCATGCATAATCAGACTCCACTGCAGATCACTCAGTTTGCTGTGGCATATATATTGAGGCTTATTGGAGGGTTCATGCTTCCTGATCACTCTAGCAGTAGGGTATCTGTGAGGTACTTGCCTTTGCTTGAAGATTTTGAGTTGACAGGTCAATATAGTTAGGGTTCTGCAGTTCTAGGTTATTTGTACTGAGAGCTATGCATGGCCACCAACATTGATCGTGTTGCTATTGGAGGACTGACTGCGTTAATTGTGATTTGGGCTTGGGATAGATTTCCCCAAATAGCACCTATCAATCCTCCCTATAGTCGTCCTTATCTTCCGTACGGTGTTAGGTAAGTTGGTATTGTTATTGCTAGTACTACGCATTTGTAGGTGTTCTATAATGTTATTTGTTTGGCTTCATGTTTTTATGGTCAATTACTTGCAGATGGTTATCCCACGGTATCAGAAGGGGAAAGAAAGATGTCCACTACTACAGATATATTTTTGATCGTCTAGCATGTGATGAGGTATTATAGCCAACTTTTGCTGAGTTACTTATTTAAATAACATGTTAATTACGTACTTTTTTGTTATTAATCTGTTTTGTATGTCATCATATAGATTGTGTGGGTGCCATACAATATGGAACTCATCAATATATTACCACCTATTTGTAGAGATGGTATGGACTTATAGAGGGCAGTGGTGCCACTTATATGTTTTCAGGTATGTGAGTGGCATCAACCTGATAGAGTAATGCGTCAGTTTGGTATGGTTCAACACATACCAAGGACTCCTTACCAGCCTGACCAGCTACATGACCTTACCCTCAGAGGGAAGACTGGAGAAGATTGGTCAGCCAAGTTCAGTGCTATGTTAGAAATTTGGGAGAGTAGACGACTTTGGGTATTGACTAATGAGCCTCAGTATGGTTTACTTAGCTCAAATTTAGAGTACATGCGATGGTATGTTAGTCATACTTGTCGTTGGATGACTAGGGAGGCAGCAGTATCAGCTTTGTCGGTATGTTTACAAAAATATATACTTTTTGCACTATTACTTTCTGTTTTATATACAAAATTACAGTAATGGTTACTTTTGACTATTTTTAGGGTGATGTGATGGAGAGATTGCATTACTTGAGCACTGATGGACATGATTCTTTTACCTTTAATGAATTGAAGGACTTGTCTGAGACTCTTCTGTCATTGAAGAAGGAGCAAGACCGCATATTAGAGCCTGTTTCAACCTCAGATCCACCAGTACAAAGTGGTAATCCTGTCGATCCAGACTTACACATAGATCAGCCGCATCAATGAAGAGAAGGAAGAGGCTTGGCACGTCGATGGAGACAAGTGCAGGCAGCAGAGTGGGCTGTCCCGGTTATGCCAGAGCGACTTGATGGTGTCTTTCCAATACCATCAGAGTTTTCTTTTCATCCATCTAGTTTGATGTAGCCCCGACTTATTTCCATTCATCACAGGGTACACACCATCCATCAGAACACCCATCATCACCTTTTACAGAAACAGAAGATTACATCCCACGACCTGATTTCTTTTTCACACCTCTTCACGAGCACCATTCGCTTTTGACTCCAGGTGCCCCATACAGTCAAGTTGACCCTATACCATCAGACATACATCCTATAGAGTTAGGTATTGATCTTAATGCCGAGTTTGGTGCAGTTGCTGATTTAGGATATGTTCGTCGGAACCCTCATCGAGGAGCTCGAGATAGACAGAGGCAATGCATCTTGACTCCAGACGATCATCATCATCAGGCACACAGGGGGGGACAGCAATGACATGTTTTTATGTAGCAACTTATTTTAGTTAACATATATTACTGTTAGTGACTTTAATGCTTACCGTAATTATTAATTTGTTTGTGCCTTTACTTGATATAACATTAATGGTTTCATTACAATAATTAATGACAATTACGATAAATAACAATATCACAAGATAAAAAAAAAAAAAATACAAACACCAACAATGTATGATTTGGTTAACCAACATTGTTTTGTTGAGGACAATGACGTCAATTGTGACCTACTTCGTTACACTTGGAACACCTTTGTCTAGTTTGTGACTCAACCCAGTCCATTTCATTCCTAATGCGAGTTGATTTTGGTCGGCCTTTACCTCTTGCTCTGTCAACATCAGGCATTAACTTCCATTCGCAGTTTGTAAGGATGTTGCATTCATTTCCTAGGGGCTTCCACTGTGGGGAGTATGCATTTACAACATATTGCATTGAATAAACAGGATCCACATATTGCCAAAAATCGATACTCACGGCTATACAAGCGGCTATCACATGTGAACAAGGAAATCGATAAGACTGAAATCTTCCACATTCGCAGAATCTTCTATCCAATATAACTGTCCATTTGTGTCCACCCCTTTGTGTTATTGGATTAAAAGCTTCTTCAACCTCAAAACTTTTTCTTTGTATGTCATACCGACGAACTTGGTGTGA